TAATGAGCAGGTGATGAAGTGCACCCAATGGACAGTCAGAGAAGCAGGTGAGCAGGTCCTGGGCCTGCCAGCCTACCCTGAGAGAGAATGAAGACAGGAGGTGGAGGGCTGGAGGGAAGGCTAGAGAGACACCTCCCATCATTGTGAGATGCTGATGAGAGAGAGGTCAACAGAAAAGAGTCAGGGAAGAGGGACAACTAGAGATCAGGGCCTCTGGGGCTGGGGGAAGAAGGGGAGAAGAGAGACGAGGAGCCTAAGAGGGAAAAGGATGAGCTGGGAAGAAGCCACAGCTACATTGTAAGCAAACTCCCTGGGAACAATCATTTGCTTAAATAGTGAAATCTTTGATAGAAAGCTTTCCTTAGAATTGAAGTCGGAAATGTAGTAAATACTTGAGAAAAGGTGCTCATGATGTGCCAGGAGGGGCGGTTAAATGCTCAACTGTTTACGGAAAGGCCTAGGGTTGGAGCCCACCAGTGGGAGAAGGTGGAGGCAGCTTCCAGAAAGATTTGCAGCCTTGGAAACGCTATAGGATGGTCCCTAGGGTTGCTGTGCGTTGAAAGGCCTAGTGATCTGAAAATCAGCCAATGAAAACTTAGCAATAAGCACAGGACGCTGCCTGATAGAGGGCAGGAAGATAAGCCCCTTCTGTTGGAAGCTGCTTGAAATACACAGTGGCTACAGCAGCGGACTCAAACAGAGGAATGGTGGCGAAGATGGCGCGGGGCTGGGGCAACATTCAGTTCTGCCGCAGACGTGGCTGCCGAGCGTGGGCTGGAGCCAACTCAATGGCATCTCACAGTAACAGCAACAGCACGTGGCAGTGAGCTTCCGGGCATTCTTCACTTTATCCCCAGGGTTACTTTTCCCATGTTATGGATGGGAAACAGAAGCTGAGATGGGTTTAGGAAGAAGACTGCATCTCAGGTAGATCGGTGGAGCAGATCTTTAGTCTCTGATACTGACGCATTTCACCACTGGTTACACTACCTCCCTGGGGAGACCTTCAATGCCAACTTCTCCATTTTGCTTAAGACCTACACTGGTTGGGAGAGCCCTACTTCCTCATTGATATGTAAGGGGCCAGTTGAAATCAGAAATAGTTCAGTTTAGTTGCCTCCCTACCCACTGGAGTCTCCCTGAAGAAGTGCATGATGTGGATCTTGAATCTTAGCAGTGGGCTAGCAGTTGCTAGGCCTTAGCTTTTCTCAAGAAGGCACAGGTTTATTAATATCATATCAAGGCACCCAGCCACCAGAGACCCTCTCCTGAATGCTTCTGGAAGGAACTATTCTTCTTCCCATCTTCTCTCCAACTCTTTCTGGCAACTCTAGTTCAAGTCATAGAAGTGATGGAATTCTTCCGGTGGGCATCTTATGGGAAGTCCTTTGAGCTGGATTCTCCTTGAAAAGGGCTTTTAGGATAAAGCAGGCCTAGGGCTCTGTCCTCGTCAGCCGGAGCCACTGTGATTGAGGGAGGAATCACTAGGCACACCTGGCTATCTCCTATCTCACTCTGCACATCTGTTTTGGAATACTACCAAAGCCAGCCTGCTGGGAAACCATTGTGTATATCTGCTGAAGTGCTCCCTTTCGCCCATGCAAGCTAGTTAAGAAAAGGCTTTCAACCAGCAATGTCCTGTCTGTAATCTGACAAACCTTGCCCTGTTTACATAGTCCAACTCAAAATAAGTACTACCAATACGGTTCTTGGGGGCCTTCTTAGAATCCCCGTCAGTAGACCCATCGGAGTGAAACCATCGAAACCCGCAGAAAGTCTCTGCTTGCTGAAGGTGAACAATCCAGGGCTCCTTACTCAAGTGGTTCTGGGCCTGAAGAAAAAGGGCGAGACCAAGCGGATGCTCCAAGGAGCCCCTGGATTATAGGGATGTGTGGGAATGAAATAAAGCATTCTGAAATTCTTGCCAGGCCCCGCATGGGCTTTTATCTGAAAACTCAGTCTTTTAAGTAGGAGCCTGCCGGAAGCCTTTCAAAAACAAAGTTACTGCTTTTTTTCTTTACCCACCTAGAACCTAATGGGAAGGCATCTGGTAGCTCTCCAGGGTGCAAGATTGAGGCTTTTTCCAATAATAGTTCCATAGCCTGAAAGATTATATCTATATATACTTGACAACTGATGAAGTTTGGGTGATCAGTTTCTTCCTATCAATGCCCTAAAAATCTGAGGCATTCGAAGAGTCTCCCAGTGAGGAATAATTTCCCAGCGGGCCCCAACGCAAGAGGGTGACAACATTGTAATAGATGTTGTCATTGTTGTGATTATCTTTCCGTTTGACAAGTCAGACCTCAGGACTCTGTCCTCTTTTCCTTTGGGTGGGAGCCATTATGCAACCTGCTTAGGCTTCCCACGCTTCAACGGCTTATGTTTAACACTAGCAGGCACCTGATCGAGTCTCCCAAAGACAGCCGTGAAACAAAGCAGAGTTAAAACTCCTAGTTGCCATGTAGAAAAACGTCGCGTGCCAATCGACAGTGACCCTTCGGTTTCCTGTTGGTGCCTTTTAGTTAAGCGTCCCAACCTTGACAGGGAGACTAGGAGGTATTTTAGTGGTGTCTGGCCACCGTCTGGCTGAAAAAGAGTTCAAGGTTGTGGGTGTGGAAGTTCAAGATGCTCTCCGGGTCTTGGCTCTCTCCTCCTGCGGCTCT